AGCCTCTCCATGCCTGACCACGCTGTGGATTCCAGATCTGATTCTGAATCTTTCAAACCAGCCTCTGCTTGCCTTGAAGACTTCTGGCTCAGCTGAGGTTCCTGGCTCCTGCTGTACGAGGTCTGCGTACAAGGCCTTGGCCTTCTCACGAATAACAGCCTCAGTCACTGTGTCCCCTGCACGCTGCTTCTCTTCAATCCAGATAAGCAGCAACTTCTCTACCTCCTCCAGAACAGCTGGCCGGTTCTTTGCCATCCTGGTGACACCCTTGGCTGTATCTGTGGCAAGGATCTTCTCCCTCTTCTTCACAATGGTCCCAATGGTGGATGGATTCCTCCCGTACTCCCTGGCAAGGGCTGCCACTCGCATGCCTCCGTCATGCTTCCTGATGATCTCCTTTTTTATCTCAAGGGTCATCTTCTCCCTTGTCTTCTTCCCGGCTTCTGCAGGAGCAGCCTTCTTGGGACGCATGGCAGCACAGTTGCTACATTCGCAAAAACAAAAGGCAATGCTTCACATCCACTTCACACACACCTTCCCACCCCTGGCCAAACCTGCCCTGGACAAAAAGTAGCATAGCAGCCCCCACACACACACCGGAGAACAAATGCACATGATGAATCCAAGCTCTCTACCTTTCCAGTGCTTAACATGTCCCAAAAGAAAACCTAAAAATCCTCTCCGATGCTCAAAGGTGGCAAAAAGAAAGTTCTGAAAACCTTCCAAGACAGGGTGCGCCCACAGCACAGACCACAGTTGCTCCTTGAAGTCAACTCTGGAACTGAAGTGAACCCAGGCTGCATTGGGGAGGCTTTTTAAACCTCCAGGCATCGTGTATCCTGGGTATTCATGGATGTGCAATTCAACCCCCCCCCAAAAAAACGGGAAAATTAATCTTGCGAAGCACGGCCATAGAAAATTTTCGTCCCGCGAGGCATTCGTCTTGCGAGGCATCACTGTATGTTACCACTTTTCATTTGCCTTCCAATCAGCCTAGCCAAGGAAAATGCTAAATTTGGCCTGGCCCATTACCTAAGTCATAATTCTACCCTGTTACTCATGCCACTCAAGGTACTAGTGATTCAACAGATGAGGGATTCTTTATAACATGCTAGCAGCTGTGGCTACACTAATTTCAAGTCCAAACATGAAAGAATTCCCTGTTGTATTGAATATGAGCTTAGGCCCAGCAAGCAAGCAAGCAAGCAAGCAGGCAAGCAGATTTGTGGAAGTTCAACATAAAGTAAAGAAATGGGTACAGCAAGTACAAAGTAAGGCAAGCTCCACTCTTGCAGCACTACAAAAGTAAAAAATATTGACCTGCCATTCCTGGCTAGCTCACATGCCTTCCTTTACAGAAATAGTATGAGGAATACACAATATAAGAGCAGGGAGGATGCACAAAGCTAAGAAAGTAAGGAACCCATACCCAGGAATATCCTGAAGGGCAGGCAGATGGCAATCCAGGTGATAGCACTTCTTGCAGCCATCACACATGACCACAGCACCAGCTTTCAGGCAGATCCTGCAGAAGGCAGCTTCTTCCCCATTGGCTGTGCCATCATGGCTGTGAACAGACTGCATTTCCATAGCAGAGCTGGTGCTGCCACTGGGGGAAATTAGCCGAGGAGCTGAGGAGCCTTCCGGAAGAAGAGCATCCTGGGGCAAAACTGGTTTGGTGTCTTTAGTATCTGCAGCTAAAAGTGGATGTTCAATAGCCGCCTCCATCTGCTCCTCCTGGAGGAAGGAGGACAAGGACAGAGTCAGGAGAGGTGCAAAACTAGGAGCATGAAAGGAGAACAGTAGAAAGAGCAAAACTGCAGAGGCACATTTATTAGCACAACAGGTAAGCTTAACTGCACCTTAGAAATCCAGTCCAGCCAGCAAGTATCACACCTGTAATTTTTATTTCTGAGGTCTCCTTACAATTCCCTCAGCTTTGGGGCCTTGGCATATTTCTCTGCATATGATTTGCATTAGCATCACATCAGACTCCAGAGAGACGTTGCAAGATGCACTTGACAATCCCGACATTGCTCAAACATAGGCACTATTTAGTCCCTTGATCTGAACAAGGAGGCACACAAACTTCAACACTGCCTTCCATTATCCAACTGCTTCCACTACCAGGATGCAAAGACTCAGAGAATCTTAAAAGACAACACAACGTTGTGGGAAATCCCTATTCCTTTCAGTTACAATATCATATATGATTGAAATCAAGGAAAATGTGACTCGACTCTCCTAGAATGTTGCACACCCTGAACAATGTATCAGCCCTACCGACAGGCTACTTCTGTTGGGCTCCTGTCATAGGTGTCACCACTAACAGCCGATGTAAGCAAATGGAAAAGAAACACTGTCTACTAATTGTACCTAAGCCACTCTATAAACTTTTTTGGCTAAGGAAATGAGTAATACTTTAAATAAACAAGTGCATTCATAGTAAACTGATTGGAATGAAACTCAACGTATCTCTGCTCCAATTGGCTGAGGGATGGCTCAAATTTCTTTGTTGTTATTAATTTTCCATTGAGTAAAGGAAGATCATAGGGAAGGGGATTTGGATCAGGATACTGGGGTAAATAAAAAATATAGAAAGTGATAGAGAACAGTATATATCATTATACATTTGTCGATATGTTTCTTACTAAACTTACTTCACACTTCACTTTTTTTCTAAATCTTTCAAGTTCTAAAATTATCTTATATTTTCTTTCTCAAAATTTTAGCCATTCATGTTCTCATCTCCCATCCAATTATACAAAGGTCCTCACTTTTTTCTAGCCTCAGCTATTTTCTGTCTTTTAATACTTCAGTTAAAATATCCATCTCTGCTGCTTCAATAATTTTCTTTCTATTAACTCCTGGGTTTTTGGAGTCTTCTCTTTTTTGTTCCAGTATTTGGCATATAAAATTCTTGCTCAAGTTTCTGAAGGCATACTTCAATCTCTTGGACAATTTAAAGGTTCCTTGCCTATGCAGGCTATTGTCTCAACTAATCTTGACCATGGAATTCCCTGGGATTTTAAAAATCCATCAATGGCCAGGAATGCTACAGGCAACTATGAGCCTTCACCATCCCACAAAGTTCTAGGAAAATCTCAGAAGGGTAACGCTGACCTTCACTGCAGGTGGAAGACCTCCTGGCTGAAGACCTCCTGGCTGGCCCCCCTGCTCAATCACATAGATATTGTAATCTTCAGTAGTAGGGCGCTGCATGACTTTGAAGATAGGTGGCTGGTTATCTGATGTCAGGTCCACATCCAGCCGCTCTAGACTGACACGGGGTACTTTGCGTAAAGTACCCTCTCCATCTTGCCCACGGGACCTGAGGAATATACAGAGACCACACTGCATGAAAAAATGTGCTTCTACTATGTCAAGCACTGGAAACTGTGCTGTCTATTGCATTAGAGATAATAAATTTGAAGCTTCCATTGTTCATTAAGTTTTTTAACTGATACATGACAACCTAAAACTCAGAAATTATAAAGAAGGCTGGGAGAAGCTTGTAATGTCTGGTTACAGAAGCTTTCCTGTTGTTACCATCCACCAACGCACCAAAGTTCCAGTTCAAAACACCTACTTCTATAAAACACTTCCACACAGAGTTGTATTTGACACAGTTATTCATAGCATGTGATGTTCATCTTGATCCAGCTCCAGGCAAAAGGTTAACCCAAAATAGTTTTTCCTATAGCTAGACATCGGAGCAGTAAGAACATGGGACTATCTTTCCCTCAGTTTTGCATCTGAACATGACACAATGAGTACTTCTTGCAGACAGTATGTTTTACTGTTTCAGTTTCAATACCAAAACCAAAATTATTCACTTAACTCAAGAAATTGTAGTTATTTTATTTATTGTAGAAAAAAAAGTGCTGGCTTAACCAGCTAAGTCACATGACACCCCCTGCTAAAACATGCTGATGTTACTTCCTCATTCTGCCAGAGATAAAGATTATGAGTGAGTTACCTCAAGTTAAAGTACTCCTTTTCATACCGGTATTGAAACAAGCACATAGAACCAAAGAGAATCTTATACAGTATTGGCATTACAGCCTATAGTTAATGTTCAGGTTGATGAAGAGAGCCCTTCTGATGCTCCCAGAATATTACCATTAATTGTTCCCTGTAGAGGACTCATTCTTGATCACCAGGCTCTCCTGTAGTGACTTAGATGCAGGTGAAGAATGTTTAGCAAGAGATGAGGGTTTTGGCCTAGGGAGGGCCCAATGTGCCAAACATCATTATAGTTCTGTATCCTACCTAGAAGATACAGAAGCCTACCCAAAACACTGACACTAATTTCACAACCACCATCCATGCCCATAGTCACTTTACTCTGAAGTAAACACATTCTTAGGACAATCACTTCTCTGCCGTATGGTAGTGAACATTTTGAAAACAGAACATAGGAGTTTGAAAGTCACAGCATGCAAGGACTCCAAGCATCCCAATAACAGCATAGTATTACTGGAAAAGAATAAACATTACCTCTTCATTCCAGACATTTCACCAGAGTATGATCCTTCTGTTATAACAAGAAGAAACAAGTGTCAAGCTGATGATACTCCTCTAGCCTCTGACAATAGGCAGGGAGGGCAAAGATTACAGAAGCAAGATTAAAGAGATTAAATCTCAACAATCTGTCAGAAGGGGCCCTACCTGAAACTAAGCCCAACAGCAGGTTTTACGTTTCCTCACTTTGCCTCCCACAGGATTCCCCTGCTTTTCTCCTCTGTTACTTACCTACACCAAAGCCATCACCGATGTCCATTGGCTGTAAAAGAAGAGAGCCCAGTTAAGACAGACCCACACCAAGCTTTGCAACATCATATCTCGAAAGTTATCAAGCTGCAATCTTGCCTGCAGGCTTCTCCCTTTGGGAGAACGGGCACTAGCTTCCATGCGCTCATGCATCTAGAGACACTTCCTTGTCCTGCTCACCTGTCCAGCAGAAGAGGCACTGGCATCATTGATATAGCAGTCAGGGATGGCCTGCCGCTGGCTGTTGGAAGGCAGCACAGGCTGAAGCAGAGCTCCCTTATTCATTATGCTTGTCTGCAGAGACATCTGTTGGACACCCTACATGGAAAAGGCGACCAGGAAGCCTGTAACTGCCCTGTTAGCCCCGCCACCATTGCTCCAGGCACTCCCAGATTGCATGCAGACAGACTGAGCAGTGGAAGGTTACTGCTGCTTCAATAAAGCCAGGCAGTCAGAGGAAAGATTTGGACACAGAAAAACCAGTACCTGAGAAGGTGGAACAGAGCCCTGCCGGACAGCCACGCCGCCAGCTGAAGTAGAGTTAGCATTGGCCCGCTGTTGGGGAGGCTGTGAATTGGCAGTCACTGGCAAACCGCTCCGCTCTGAGACGATCTGACCTAAGAGGAGGGAAAAGGGCGAATTTATATTTTAGTGCTCCCAGCTAGTATTCTGCATTCCTCAATGGAGACTTTGCCATACTGGAGTTGGGTCAGAACTACATTCCCAAAAAGCTGAGCATTCCAGTACAGGATCCAATAGCTGGTAAAAGCCACATCAAATGCTGGTATCTCCAGACATACTGCACCACTGTGCACTACCTACTGAATGCCAAAGAAACACTTCAGTTTGCATGCCCTATAAAATGCCATTTTCAGGACTTCAAAGGTAGATTTCCCTTGCATCACAGAAGTACTGGCAAGAAGTTTCAAGTGGGGTGGATAAAAATCAATGATTTTTTAAAATTAAATCACAATTTGAATTTTTAAAAAAATCTCTTAAATCCTCAAAAAATCAGAAATCACAATTTGATTTTTTTTAAAAAATCTCTTAAATCCTCAAAAAATCAGATTTTTAAACAATTTAGATCGTGACTTAAATCAAACCCACCCTGGAATTTTGTTCCTATGCTTTTTGTGCTATTTTCCACTCTTTTGTGGCTTGTAGATATCTATCGCCATGCACACCCTTCCTACATATCATGTCGATACCAGCATGGCATCATAACTGTGCAGTGTGTTTTACAGGGAAAGAAGAAGGAAAAATGCCACCAAAAGGTGAATCTATTGATGCCCAAATCATATTGAACATACTAAGGGGTTTTTTTTAATCTCAAACTTTGCACGTAGTACTCAGAATGTATAAAACTATAACTTTTGTCACTTATTTTCCATCCACTGCCACAACACTTCCACTGAGAGATTCATGTCAATCTGTTATATTACTATTTCTTCCTTTAGTTCATAGAATATTTAGTTTCATATCCCAGCAACAACCAACCCCAAACCTGCTTTGTTTCACCAAGGTCATTGTCATCAAGTACCTCAGAACATTTCCAGAAAACGTGTGGCAACCTTGGAGGAAAATATGCAGTCCCATCAACATCACAAAGTACAATAAATTATCTTCCAAAGAGCTGCAGCCCAATTAGAATGGTAAATTCACATTAGCTCTATCATCTTCTCTCTCAACATATGTACATACAATAAATTGTAAGAATTTCACATCTCTCACCAAATGTCTCTGCACTTTTGATCCAGGCATTTAAGTCCCATTGGAATTTCATGTCCCCATGGGGCTCTACTGGATCCACAATCATTTTCAAAGCCCTGTGTAGCTGAAAGTATATCTAAAACAGAAATAGTAAGGAAAAGGGAAAGAGAGCTTTAAGCACATTTAGAAGGATCCATTTTTAAAAGGATGATTTCCATGAACACTGTAAACTGGTATTGGCCAGTCACCTCTTACAAGCACTCAACTCCAATTGGGCGCTCAGAATAAAAACATGGATTTACAGTGGTGCCTCGCAAGATGAAAACAATTTGTTGCATGAGTCCCTTCGCATCGTGAAAATAATCGTCTTGCAAAGCATGGTTTCCCATAGGAATGCATTGAAATTGCCTTCAATGCATTTCTATGAAGTGCCTTGCAAGAATGCATTTTTTTCGTCTTGTGAAGCATCAATGCAAGCCATTTCTATGAAGTGCCTTGCAAGAAGAATGCCATTTTTTCGTCTTGTGAAGCATCAATGCAAGACAAACACACACAAAAAAAATCTTGCGAAGCACAGCCATAGGAAAAACTGTCTTGCGAAGCGCCTAGGACATTGCAAAACGCTTTCGTTTTGTGAGCTTTTCGTGGTGCGAGACGTTTGTCTTGCAAGGCACAACTGTACCTAGCTTCTAAAAGCTACCAAGAAGGGACCTTCTACTTGGCAGAGAAACAAACACAGAACCTTTGGGATTTCCACTGTTTCCTCTCAGGTGAAGGCAGCCAATTTCCTGGAATGATGTGGACACATCCTCTGTAATATCTGGATGCATTCGGAGTGCATAAAGCCCCAGTTGACGCAGTTCTGATCCGAGCATCGAGATCTGTGAGCTGGGTTTTGCGTTTTTGCACAGCAACTCTCAGAATTCTGCCTGAGAATGCTCAGATCTGCAATGTAATTTTGGGAATTGCAGGAGCTGCGATTGAAAATTGAAACAGTACTGTACACTCCTATTGACCACTGACCTTTTGCACTGAACATTATAACTAAAGGTGTGCCAAACAACCTGTCAAGATGTGAAGGATGACACTGGGCTTACCAGCTTCTTTGAAAGCAACAAGGCAGTGTTGTTATCACTCTCTAGAGCCCAGTTTGCAAAGCGCAAGATATGCTCCTGGTGGCGCTGGAGCTTTGTCATGGCCCAGTGCTGCCTTTCCAGCTTCTCTTGCTGTCCTTCGGTGACTTTCTGAAAAGAAGAATGTCACATTAAACTTCCAAAGAGGCAATGCTCTTTCTTAACACATCAACTCCCACCTTGTGCAAATTTAAATATTGTATTAAGATCAATTAATAGATGATATCTATTAAAAGCAAACTATGGTCTGTGTTGCCTAAGATGTGGATCTGAAGGCAAGTTGGGGGATAAGGCTTTTGTCAAAGAGCACTAAGTTCTAAGATCTGTGCTTTTGTTGTGCTTGCTGAAATCCCTGATTGTGTTCTCCTTAACTTGAGAATGGTTGTGGGCAAATGAGACAGACTGGAGGGAAACTATGTCATAAAGGAGAGGTATAAGACTTCCCCTTTCAAGTCCCAACTACCTTTCCTGCATATCTGCAGCTAAAGCCACAGTCAATGTTTTACCTGTGCATCGTTGACCAGCACCCTGGCTCGTTTATTAAGTTCCTTCATTATCTGCAGGACAGACATCTTCACGTCCACCTGCACTCGCTTCTGCACATCTGCCACCTGACGAATCCTAATAAAGCAGGATACGAGTTTCCTTAGCTGTGATCCTTAAAACACTTATTTTTACACTTGCATACACACTAATTACTGCCATGCATTACTCCGGGTAGTTTACTTCCAAAGTAACACAAACATAAAATAAACAACAAATAATACCTTAAAAAATAAACCACAAATATGTGTGGTTTAGCTTTACACTTAAGGCTCACCACATGGACAAAATCAACTACCTATATCTCCTTAACGATTTATGGTTACTTATTTTTACACTTGTATACCACACTAATTACTGCCATGCGTTACTCCGGGTAGTTTACTTCCAAAGTAACACAAACATAAAATAAACAACAAATAATACCTTAAAAAATAAACCACAAATATGTGTGGTTTAGCTTTACACATAAGGCTCACCACATGGACAACATCAACTACTTATATCTCCTTAACGATTTATGAGAAGTATTTATCAACAAATACACTACACCTCCTGAAATCAGGCTCAGTATTGCTCAGCCAGGATGCAAAAAGGACAGTCAAAAAATTACGTTCCACTGTGTCTTTCAAAGTACCCAGGTCATTGTGGAGGTCTTCCCATGTTTTACTCTCATGAGCACCGTGCATTGTACACACTGCTGAAAGATAATACAGTGGTGCCTCACTTAACGAGTGCACCATAGAATGACGAATCCGCATAGCATAGCGCTCAGTATTGCTCAGCCAGGATGCAAAAAGGACAGTCAAAAAATTAAATTCCACTGTGTCTTTCTTTCAAAAGTATTCAAGTCATTGTGGAGGTCTTCCCATATTTTATTCTCATGAGCACAGTGCATTGTACACAATGCTGAAAGGTAATGACTGGTTTCCCAGTCCCCTAGCATATTGCTGAGTGGAATATAATCCACAGCATAATCTACAGGAGAGAAACCAAGCCCCAAGACATTGGCCTCACAACTAGTTATCTCTTTCTTTCAAAAGTATTCAAGTCATTGTGGAGGTCTTCCCATATTTTATTCTCATGAGCACAGTGCATTGTACACAATGCTGAAAGGTAATGACTGGTTTCCCAGTCCCCTAGCATATTGCTGAGTGGAATATAATCCACAGCATAATCTACAGGAGAGAAACCAAGCCCCAAGACATTGGCCTCACAACTAGTTATCACCATGAAGAGTTGCGATGATCTTCGCAAAGCGATGCTGCAGATCAGCTGTTCGGCGGCTCCAAAATGGCCGCCGGAAGCCCCGAAGTGGCCGCGCGCAGTGTTTTCGCGCCCTCCCCTCGCTTACCGAGGGCACGAAAATGGCTGCCGGCTATGGACAAACTTCGCTGAATGGTGAGTTTTGGAGCCTATTGGAGGGCTTTCCCCGTTCCGTACAGCGATGTTTTCACATAGCGAGGCACCACTGTAACTGGTTTCCCAGTCCCCTAGCATACTGCTGAGTGGAATATAATCCATAGCATAATCTACAGGAGAGAAACCAAGCTCCAAGACATTGGCCTCACAACTAGTTATCACCATGAAGAGGAATTGAGGTTTAAATGATAGCACGCAAACATCTTCCTTCATGAAGAGGTAAATCCATACAGTTGGACGTCACAAACCCCAAAGAGCCTGGAAGGTCTATAGTTCCAGAGGAGGCAACCATGTTAGCCTGTGCTAGCATATCGGGCAATGCATTTGCAGTGGACCCTCTGCTTAAGGAATTAATCCGTATTGGAATGGTGGCTGCAAGTCGAAAAGTCTGTAGGTCAAATCTCCATTGACCTACAATGCATTGAAAACCGATTAATCCCACAACCGGCGGTTTTTATTCGGCATTTATACATGGCCTCAAACCAGAGAATGTATAAATATTTGCCATGTAGTCCCATTCTTACATCTGAGGGAGTGACCTGCCCACAAAATCACACATTAAAATATAGCAAGTAACATCTTTAAGGTGCCACAATGCTCTTTTCTTCTTAATTTTTGTTTTGTTTTTGTCCAATACGCAAGGTCTGCATAACCCTATTACTTCTAGCTTTGATAACCTTTGGAAACCTCTGAGCCAAAGCCACATTTGAATACGCATAACTTACTAGTGCCCAACCACTGGCCCTTCTGAGCAAGAGAACTTACGAGGTGCGCACTTCCTTGGTTGACTTCTGGAGATTCGCATTTTTCTCTCCCAGGCGCTTGACTAGCGAAGCCAGCATCTTGCGCTGATTTTTTACGGCATCCTCTAAGAACTGATATCTGCAGAAGAAAATAGTTTCAAGTATCTGCTGGCAATGTTTAAAATCGTGCTGCCATATAAAGCTACTGATCTAAGACCAAAATAAAAAGTACACTACTGTTATGTTATTCACATTCTCTTTCTATGCTGGACAGGCATACTGATGGAGAGAATACATATCTGGCTTGAGCTATGACAAATCTATATTATCTATGCATTACAAAGAACTCATCCCCATTTTGTGCATTTTACCAGAGGAATGAAACAGTGAGAAACAGCACTTTTTGTTGTTTAGTTGTTAAGTCGTGTCCTACTCTTCGTGACCCCATGGACCAGAGCATGCCAGGCCCTCCTGTCTTCCACTGCCTCCCAGAGTTGGGTCAAATTCATGTAGCTTCGATGACACTGTCCAACCATCTCATCCTGTTGTCCCCTTCTCCTCTTGCCTTCACACTTTCCCATCATCACAGTCTTTTCCAGGAAGTCTTTTCTTCTCATGAGATGGCCAAAGTATTGGAGCCTCAGCTTCAGGATCTGTCCTTCCAGTGAGCACTCAGGTTTGATTTCCTTCAGAATGGATAGGTTTGTTCTCCTTGCAGTCCAGGGGACTCTCAAGAGTCTCCTCCAACACTACAATTCAAAAGCATTAATTCTTTGGCAGTCAGCTTTCTTTATGGTCCAGCTCTCACTTCCCTATATCGCTACTGGAAAAAGCATAGCTTTGATTATGCAGACCTTTGTTGGCAATGTGATGTTTCTGCTTTTTAAGATGCTGTCGAAGTTTCTTAGCTTTCCTCCCAAGAAGCAGGCATCTTTTAATTTCGTGGCTGCTGTCTCCATCTGCAGTGATCATGGAGCCCAAGAAATTAAAATCTGTCACTGTCTCCATCTCTTCCCCTTCTATTTGCCAGGAGGTGATCTTAGTTTTTTTTTTTTTATGTTGCGCTTCAGACCATTTTTGCACTCTCCTCTTTCATCCTCATTAAGAAGTTCCTTAATTCGTCCTCACTTTCTAACATCAGAGTGGTATCATCTGTATATCTGAAGTTGTTGATATTTCTTCCGGCAATCTTTATTCTGGCTTGGGATTCATCCAGTCCTGCCTTTCACATGATATATTCTGCATATAAGTTAATTGAGCAGGGAGACAATATACAGCCTTGTCATACTCCTTTCCCAATTTTAAACCAATTAGTTGTTCCATATCCAGTTCTAACTGTGGCTTCCTGTCCCACATATAGATTTCTCAGGAGAGAGATAAGGTGGTCAGGCATTCCCATTTCTTTAAGGACTTGCCATAGTTTGTTGTGGTCCATACACTCAAGAGCTTTTGCGTAGTCAATGAAGCAGAAGTAGGTGTTTTTCTGAAACTCTCTGGCCTTCTCCATAATCCAGCGCATGTTAGCAATTTGGTCTTGAAATCCAGCTTGTACCTCTGGGAGTTCTTGGTCCACATAGTGCTGAAGCCTACCTTGGAGAATTTTGAGCATGAAACAGCACTTAGCAGCTGCTAGAGACTGAACTATCCTAATGGTATACAGCAGGAATCAGAAATATACTTCAGCACAGAACATTAACTTCCACTGTGTCTGACTACCAACTCACCTAGCCCAGTATTGCCAATTCTGATTGGCAGTGTCAATCTGGAATTACTAGAAAGATCTTTTAACTATACCTGGAGGACTCTGATATTCTATGGAGGCATCTATTAAAGTATTAATCAGGCCCACCACCCCTTACCTTTTCAAATATGAGATCAGGTACATTTAGTGTGGTGTGGACACACTCACACAGAAGTAATTACAGACCAAATACCAGTGGCATACAGGACTAAATGAGCTGTGCATGAGGGCAAAGGAAGATAGGTGGTAAATGAGAAGTGGTTTGAGCCTATCAGGCAGATGGGAAATATCATTTGAGAAAAGATCATACACCAAACAGGAGAGCTTACTGGTGATCCTTGTGTGCATTCAACTGGCAGTCCCGGCAAGTCAGGGTGTCACATGTGTCACAGAACAACACCAGTGGCTCATGCTTGTGGACAGAACAGTACACTGTCTTCTCTCTCTCCTGGGATTTGGTGGCGCCTAGGAAGAAACAAAGGCCAATCTGTTAACTTGCATGGCAGTCCATATCTCACATATTAATAGTAGTAGTATATATGAAAGAAAAATTAGTCACAATTTCAAAACTAGTATGCGTGGATCAGAGGCATGGTGTCTTCCAGGTAAAATGTCCAGGCCTAACTATCATAATTAAACATCAGGAGTCAAATGCTTATAGGCAGAAACATCTGGAAGACTCCTTCCCCTGATTTAGCTTAATTCAAGTGATGTGGGATTAAGGAGATACACAACCTTTTCCTGTACTGACAGGTTTTCAACTGCACTAAGTACTTCACACTAGCACTTTCTTGGACTATGCTTTTATCAGGAATGTACCATTTGAATTTTCTGCACTTGAAAATTGGACCTGACACACCCACACTGATAGAGACGTATAGATCTGTAGCAGACCTAGAGAAAAGCAAGGTTCATTTATTGTCATTTATTGTCTGTAAATGTGGTTCCGTCAGGAGAATTGTGGAAATACAAATATCCAAATGGCACATCCCTCGTTTTTCACTTTCTTGCACATATACAAATGCTTGTATCCATGACCAAGAAAACTTAACATGTCTTAAGGTCATCTTGCTGCATGGACACCTACCTGTGGATCGAACAGTGTGATCCTTTGTGTATTTCACTCTCTGATGAGCCTCCACACATGTTTCACACAGGGGCTCCTGGCACTCCACACAGAAACTGGTGGCTGGGGCATTATCTTCACAGCTAGTACAACACTGGTGGCAAAAGGAAATTGATTAAGTAGTAACTAAGAAGAGTTCTTTACCACGAAGGATGTCACTCAGTCGAAGAGATGGGAACACCCAAGATACTGTACATCCAAAAACAATCAAGACACACTGAAATGAAAACCTTGTAAAAGAAAGTAATCCCATTACCTGGTTGGCATCTCTAGCATCTCCAAAAGACTCCGTGCCACCATCCCTCAGAAAGTAGTTCTCCACTATGTCTTTTAAGTAACACTGGTGCTTGCACACAGGGCAGTCAACCACTGTAAAGAAAGTGATATGGAAAACATAAGGAAAATCCTACAACAACACGGAACAGAAACCACCTCTTCTACCACTAAAATATAACTTGTTTTATATTTTATAGCCATTTCAGGATAAAACGGTATTGCAGCTAAAGATTACATTTGTTACATGAAACACAGCGCTTTGCTGGCCCTACGTAATACTCATCTAGCCAATCAGTAACCACTCTAATTCCACCAAAACTTAACTGATGCATTCGTTGGTTCCCTTTACTTTCTCACCAAAAAATAAATATACATCTGTTTATCTTTGTCTGCAAAGAATGAAATAGGACAGTGGAACCTATCCATTACCTTGGATAAGAGACTAGATGTCACTTAGTTTTTCAACTGTATACATTTCACACCATCTTTATAGGAAATCAAGCATTTTTTCTCTTGTCTCGCTATTTCTTTTCTACCTTTCATGGCATGTTCTTTACATCTGAACGCAGGTACTACATTTTAGGAGCTAGAACAAAACTCAGTAATATAATACAGGTTTTGATTTGTTCTTCTCCTGCACTTAACAAGAAAACTTTCCCTCAAAACACCATTATGGATGGATCATTACTAGCCAAGCCCTTTGATTTCTGTTACCCAAGTTTGACCTTTTTTCCTTTAAAGAAAACCCTGAATGCTTCTTAAGCTTGGTATTACAATAATATGCAATAATATGTATTTGCTTCCCTGGTTTTTAAATATTTACAGCCACATGAAACATGGCATTACCATATATATTAATTAGCATTATGTTTTAAATGAATTCCTCACATTTATAGGATTCTGATCAAATTCTAGCAACATCCATTAATGGTGCTTCCCAAAACTATTCAGCAAAATAACTAGTAATTTGCATAACATGTCAACTCAGCATTAAAAATACACCAGTACTGAAGGGAAGAGAGAAAAGACATCCCTCCCATTCTATACTAAGACCTACACAGGAATGGGAAACCTCCAAAAGTCTCAGCAAACACAGAATGGTGGGAGATTATGGGAACAACAATTCAAAAGCACCTGAAAGGGGAAAATTGATCCAATGCATTCAATAAGGAACCTAAGAGTTATAGTTTTGATGATGAATTTAAGAATCTTTTCTTGAAGTCTCAATTTCCAAGGCATCCATGAACCATGAACATCTCATTCTAAAGAATGATTTTCACTTTTGCAGTGAAATTATAATTTAATACCATCTACCCATTTGAACCACTCCTACAGAATGCATTTTGGGCCAGCTGCTCTGCTTAGTTTATTTAGAAGGCAGCCCAAAGAACAGAGTTATCACATCTAGAGAATGACAATTAATGTTACTGCCACAAACATAAAGATCAGTGAATTGGGCAGATCTCTACTGCCCAACTGTCTCCATGTCAAGAGTTTTTTTTAAAAAGTCCACACCTTCCTGATTGTCTCTGTAAGAATGCCTTGGGCACCAATCATATAAACCAAAAAACTTCCATAGCACATTGCAGATTGTGTGTGTGTGTTCTGTGCCATCAGGTTGGGACCAACTTATAGCAACTCTAATAGAAGTTTCAAGGTGAGATATTTAAGGAGCAGTTTTACCAGTTTCACTCCTCCCCCCAGTGATTTTACATGGCCAAGTCGAGATTCGAATGCTGTTCTCCAGAGTCTTTGTCTGCCACTCTATTCACTATAGTGTACCACACTGGGAATTGCAGACTACAAATGCACTTATGGACCAGAAAAACACTTTGGTAGAAAATCTTACAATACAATCTCTTGCCTATCTACTCAGAAAGAAACCAGAGTGAGTTCAATGGGAATTTCTCTTACAAAACTGTAGTCTAGGATCATAGAAAGCTCTCTTGTAATTTGTCTGATCACCTGTCAATCTAATTTTGCACTTTAGAAAAAGTCTTCTGGATAACTGCAAATATTCCAAACCATTTCAAGGCAGAAAAATAAATTGTACAACAATTAAATATATAGACTTCTTTTATTTGGAAAGCTTAAATTTGAATATAGAACTAATATTGTTATACTAAAATATTATGAACAAGAATTTTAACTTATAAATATAAATATTTATTCTTTGAGCCATAAGCTAGATTTTAAAATATAGAAGTCAAGTCACTATGAAATGATTATAAATATTTGCTCTTACCCTACATATGTAACAGCCAGCCAGTGTGAAATACATATATGGTCATATTCCTCCACCCTCATTATTCTGTCTCTCCCCTGAATCAGCTTATTTTTATATCATTCCTTAGCTCCACTTGTTGCAAGCAGTCAGGGTCTTACCTATTTTCATCAGCCAATGATTTTCACTATGTAGTAGCTGTCAACAGATATTATTTGTGTATCATCTCTAGATATAAGCTGACATTACATTTATGTGTTTGTCCTTGCTGATTTACATGTTTGTTACATAGTATTTTATTTATTATCAGTGAGTCCTTCTAAACCATGTGCCTTAAGTATCACAGTATTTTCTTTGATAGTGTTGATAAAATGTGTATCCTTGTGAAACATTCACGAAAAAAGTTCAGTCCAATTAAACTAGCTGTTATGAGCTACACTGGATCTAGTTATAGGTACTGTACACCACTTAAGACACATTTTCTTCCCATTCCAATTATATTCTTAAAAAGCACAGTCAGAAACAGTTATCTAAATTGGCAAGCTAGCTCTGCATTCTTGGCAGCAATTGCTTTTTTACAAGGTCATTTTGGTCCTTTGTTGCCTAGCAACATACTGAAGTCATGTAGTCAAATTTAATCTCATTCTTCTGAGAGTTGTTGTTTTAATGTTTTCAGAGTCAATCTTTGTCTGTCTTGTTTGACACAAGTACTTAACCAGGCCCAAAACCGCTTGCCTTCCAAAAACAAAAAAACAAAATCAAGTGTGTTCAGAGCACTATGATAATGACTGGATCTAAACTACCATACAAGGCCAGACTCCTCCCTGCAGCAAAAAGTCTGCAATTATCAATATTCAAATCTAGAATTAGTATAATCCCCCTAAACTTAGGCAATCACTTTCAACTTCTCCCATCTGTAAGAAAAAGAAAAAAATACAATGAATTCTTTCATCTTATTTCCTTCACTTCTGAAGGAGGCCAAAAAAAAAACCCACCCCCAAGCACTATGAAACAATGGCCCTGGGCCAGGCATGACATCACTCCTCCACTACAAATATAGGCTGTATCTAAAATGAGTTGCTTTTCCAGAAAAAAAGCTTAAGCTGAGCAAATTTTATGCTTACCCACATACATGCAAAACTGAGCACCCAACATCTACTGAACAAAAACACACAAAGTAGCAAGTGTCACAATAAAGACCAATAAATGTTACTGTAGACAAGATACTGCAGCAGTATTTTCATATCATGAGGGTTTGTAACAAAGCACAGAATGAGTTGCCAACCACCAGTGTACACAAAGATCACATAAGGTTTATAATCTTCTCTTAGACAACTCAACATGCAACCAACACAGGATTCAGTCAGTTGAGGACTAAATCCAACTCTTCATATTCCTGTGTGTGTGGCATGTGCAGAAGAGCCCGCAGAACAAAGCAATGGAAGAAGTCAACTAGGTAAAGGTAAAGGTTCCCGTTGACACTTAGTCCAGTCGTGTCCGACTCTAGGGAGTGGTGCTCATCCCCGTTTCCAAGCCACAGAGCCAGCATTTGTCCATAGACAGATTCCATGGTCACGTGGCCAGTGTGCCTAGAAACGGAGCACTGTTACCTTCCCACCATGGTGGTACATATTTATCTACTCGTGTTTTCGAACTGCTAGGTTGGCGAGGACCTGGGACAAGCAACACGATTTGATCTTAGGAGTGATGGTCTTCTGACCTTGCAGCACAAAGACTTCTGCGGTTTAACCCAAAGCACCACCACATCCCTCTAAGAAGTCAACTTGTTGTTATTCAGTCGTGTCCCCCTTCATGACCCCATGGACCAGAGCAGGCCAGGCCCTCCTGTCTCCATAAGTCAACTACTGGAGCACGATTATCACTAAAGAGTGTGCTGGGAGATACAACTCCATCAGATATGCTGGCAATGAAGTCTGCTACAGCTCATTACATCCCTGTAAACACCAAATGCAAAACTTTACTTTTATTTCAACAAAGATCTTCACAAATTTATTGAAATAAACCCCCTCTACCAAATGAGGTGAAGATGGGGGAAATGAAGCTCCAGTCACAACAATTGCTTCTGTTGTTCAAACTGCTGAGAAGTTGAATGTTTTGTGCTTTATATACAGGCATTGAAGGAAGCTATAAAGCATGCCCTTCCCTCTCCCCATACAGTCTATTAAATCCCTTATCCCACTCTCATTTGCTTCACAAAGCAAGGTATGGGCAAAGATTAGGGGAGGTAAACTCTTATCCTTTGCCTTCAAAGCTTGAAAAGAATTGAGGGAAGACAGCCATCAATCTTAACATACTTAAAATACCAATTTGCCCTTGAGCTACTGATCTACTGTACTGAAAAAGACAAAGAAAACTGCCAGATTGTACCTAAGTGAAAATTTGGACTAAGGTTGGTTTATCTTAAGAGTAATGGCACTTAGCATAAAGAACAAAAGATCTGATGGTTGTTCTGAGTTTTTCCCATGTTCTGAAGGTTGTTCTTCCTGACCTTTTTGCCAGTCTGCCAGTCTCTGTGGTCAGCACAAAAAAGACCAGCTAACGACACCCATCAATCACAGTGACAGATAATCTCTCCCCCCTTAGGCTGATCACCCTATCTCCTGAAAAAAGACAAAAGCTGTTCCCACAGCTATAAATACTCAACTATCCAACAAACAGCAACAGAGCATGGACAGAGTTCCTACTCCACTCCTCTGAAGATGCCGGCCACCGAGACTGGCGAAACATCAGGAGCAACCTTCAGAACACAGCCAAAGAGCCTGAAAAACCCACAACAACCATCAGATCCCGGCTGTGAAAGCCTTCAGGAATACAACAAAATATCTGTTGACTTGCTCCATATAGAAAGGCAACTTAAACCTTGCTCACATTGTTAAGTGGTCAAGTCACCTCTGACATCTCCAAAATGTCCTATCAATAATCCTGCTCAGCTCTTGTAGACTTATGCTTGTATAATCCTTCAGAGAACCAATCCATCTCACATCTGGTCTTCCTCTTTTCCTGCTGTCCCCCCACCCTTCGGAGCACTGTTGTCTTTTCCAGAGAATCCTACCTTCTGATAATGTGCACAAAGTAGGACAGCTTCAGTTTCAATACTTTTGCCTCCAGAGATAGTTCAGGCTTGATTTGATCTAGGACCTACTTAGTTGTTTTTCTAGCAAACCAGGGTATCCACAAAGCTCTCCTTCAGCACCACATGTCAAACAATATTCCCCATGAAGCAATATATTAAGCTTTCCAGTACATAAGGCCCAGGTTACTTTTCCATCTATAGGATGGTCAGACTGCCAGTGGCAGGACCTTCAAGCAGTATTGCCTTACATCTAGATCATCATCCCAGTCTACATTGCAAGCCCTTGTTTTAGCATATTTTCTTAAGCTTTCCAACCTAATCAGTTCTGAAATGTTTAGTGATTTTTATGCACGGATGTACCTTTTTTTAAGCCTGCTTTAATCATTTTACAATGCATGGAATCAGTTTTAAAGTTACTGTTTGCTTATAATACTAGTTTGTTAAGCGTTTTATATAAGCTATCTTGCCAAGACTATGCCTCTGAAGGATAATCTGGAAATGCCATCTTCATTATATTCAATGCAGTCATACCACTCAATAGTCTGCAGCAGAAAGTACAAAGAGTCATACAGCACCTTTATGGCTACCAGGTAGTCATTATGTTAGACTACACAGGGAAGCCATTGAAATTCACAAACAGCAGCATAGCTTCAAGGAAAAAGAAGAAAGTCTAAAACTCAACAAAGCCTGGCTCCCAGCACTGAAAAATATAGCCTGCAAAAAGGTCAAGGAACTCTACCAAGCCACAAGGACTGGTGGTCACTGCACACAAAAGACTAGCTAACAACATCCATCAATCACAGTGACAGATCATCTTATCACAACAATACACCCATAACAAAAAAACACCCTGACCACCATAATCACCCAATCTCCTGAAAAGGACAAAAAGTTGACCCCACAACTACAAATGCTCAACTATTCCACACACTACACCAGAACACAGAGTTTTAACTCCTGTCCTCTGAAGATGCGGGCCACAGAGACTGGCGAGAGGTTAGGAAGGAAAACCTCCAGATCATGGCCGAAGAGCCTGAAAAAAACTACAACAACCATCAGATCCCGGCCATGAAAGCCTTCAAGAATACACTAACAGCTTTGGTTTGTGTAAGCTTTTGCAGACTAGAGTGTGCTACAAGCAAGAAAAATGTAAACAATATCAAACAAATGGCTGTTGTAGGTTTTTTGGGCTGTTTGGCCGTGTTCTGGGGGTTTTTCTTCCTAATGTTTTGCCAGTCTCTGTGGCCGGCATCTTCAGAGAAGATGAACAGGACAGAGTTCTAACTTCAGAGCACTCATCTTCTCTGAAGATGCCGGCCACAGAGACTGGCAAAACATTAGGAAGAAAAACCTCCAGAACACGGCCAAACAGCCCAAAAACCCTACAACAACCATCGGATCCCAGCTGTGAAAGCCTTCAAGGATATAATATCAAACAAACATTTTCTGATTTTTGTTGTTGTAAATGGAACGTGCACCTGTCTCTCTTACACATACAAAGCAAGGCATTATATGCTTAGACTGGTTCCTTGTCTTGACCTAATGTACTGAGAACACATGAATAGTCACCATAATGCATGTTATCCCACTCAAATTAAACTGTGGAGCAGTGGCAGGTGACGCCTAGACCTCAATATAATAACTACAGCTCCCATTAGGAGTTGAATGGAGACAAATCCACTCTACCAAATCTGTTGCTGCACCTTTCACTTCAAGGCAGTTTTATAACTGAGTGAAGTCTATATATCAAATTTTCCAATCTGATAAGATTCAATCTATTTTGACACACCCTTTTGTACTCAAGGACATCTTAAATGCAGACTATCCTATCTCCCACAACAAATTTCCACACAAAAAAACTATCAGAGTACAATGCAAATAACTCACAATTTAGAAGGCTTGGCAGACAGACTGAAAATGCACCTGAGTATACCCAGAACCACTAGGTCCATGTTCCAGAGAACAGAATATGTTATATTCTGCCCCCATTGCTTAAATATGTTTTTCAAAACATGTTGATATTAATAGATTACTAGTTCAAGTACTGTACAAGTAGTATTTGGATAGACATCTGCATTACAATTAACAATAAAAATCAACTGGAAACTTAAAAACTTAATCTAGAAGAAACAAGGCAGCTAAACCATTTCCACATTAGAGAATTACAGAGTTCTCCGTCATACATGTAATCCTGAAAGAACCAGTTTTTCATCAAACAAAACTAGTGTCTTCCTCTCTAAAGGGAACATTTCAGCCACATATAAATGTAAACAGTACAAATCAGTCATAACAAATGTGAACAGGAGAAGGTGCTTTTCTTTGTTCTCATGAACACAACCTAAAGCAGTGATGGTGAACCTTTTTGGGCCCAAGTGCCCAAGCTGGGGGGGGGGCGGGACAGCAGGCGGTGAGCAGCAGTGGAACCGGAAGTGGCAGTGGTGGAACCGGAAGTGGTGGCAGAAGGGGCAATCCCATGATTGCTCCTGTTCTCCAGTGGAACCGGAAGTGGGCACGGTAGTGTCTCGAGGTCCCACTCCAGACTCGACACCAGCACCAGCTGCTCCGGATCCTGGCCCACCGCTTGTTGGGGCACCAGCACAGTGGCTGCAGCCGCCTCCTCAGTTTTGGCTGGGGGGGGAGAGTAGCGATCCAGTGACTTAGGGCTCGCGTACCCACAGAGAGGGCTCTGCGTGCCAGCTGTAGCATGTGTGCCATAGGTTTGCCATTGCTGACCTAAAGTATCTACTTTTAGATAAGTGGCCAAGAACTAATTACCTCTTCCATTTAATCTTACTTCCACATATCATCTCCTGCAATCCTGTGCCCACTTGCCTATGGGTGAATCCCAATGAACTCAGTAGAATTAGTTCTTTAAATAGGGCAACACTTTTTAAACACTGGCCAGGAGATCCTTAATGTGGAAAAGACCTTAAAGCACACCGAATTTCCACTTGTAGATACTTAACAGATATCTGCTTCCTTCATATAAACCAACTGCAGAAAACATAGATAAGAACACTTCCAAGAAAACCTACAGTGCTATCTAAGTTCTAGTGACACATAACTTTGTGTGGTTCTAAGACCTTTATTATCAACTGCAGGAAGAGACAGTTTGGAATTATTCACTGTGCAACCTCAATGTTTATTCAAGCTATAAATCCAAGGAGGACCAAAGACTGCAGCATAAGTATCTTTGGGGGAGCTCAGGCAACAAACCTATACATCACCTGCATATTGTACCCTTTTTATAGACTCCATGCAGTGTTGCTACTGCTAGCGAGTAAGCTTAGAATTGCAATCTCTGTGCAAAAATACACACAACCACCACAATAACCATGCCTTGTGTACATTATGCACTGGACACTTCTCATCAATGCAGGAAGACATCCTTCACATCAAACTGAAAGACTTCTCCTCCTGAGGCTCAAATCACCACTTAGGAATAAACCTCACTGGGTTCACTTCCCTCTCCCTTATCCTTGACCCCATCCTCAAACGGTTATTGCCACAAGAAAAAAACGGACAAGGGCCAGTTGCACATGCCACCCTAAGGCCATTGGAGAAGAAAGATGAAATACAGAGCTCACTGGGATGGGAAAACCAGATTATGATATTGGGTCCACTCTTAAATTGGACTACACTTCCTTTCTGGAATCGAGAACTCAGGCAGGAAGAGAACACAGAGAAGGGGAAACAACCGGGGGGGGGCAGAGACTAAGCACGACCCTAGCACGCGCCCCCCCTCCGTTCCCCTCTCCCTGCCCAACCTTCCAAGGCAGAGCAGGAACTCCACTTCTCGCGATAGGCCCCGCCGCAAACATCGCGATGCCCACCCTCCTCCTCGGCCGCCATAGAGGCGCCTCCACCACGGCCGACTCGCCCGCCGCAGCATCCCTCTTCTGCCGCCTCCCGTGCCTTCACGGCCTGGGCACGCACAGGCACAGAAACACACATACCAAACGTACACTTCCCGCCACACCAAAAATCTCCTCGCGTCCATCTTCCTGGCTATGTTCATTTTAAAAAGCTATATACCTCCCATGTCGCTTCACCCCGCCCCCTCCCTCCCTCCGCCTCCATTTTTACACTCCCATTTATAGGAACCCAAAGCACTCTCCACAGGCATGATTGCTCCTGTTCCCCCGTGGAAGCAAAGAATTTTTTCTTGGGGGGGGGAGAGAATCACAGCCCCCAGAGGGCGATGAGAAGCGGCTCTCGAAGGTCCTCGAACGTGTTGCAAACGACACAATGCAACACTCAGTGTTTGGGGAAGGAAACAAGACAATGCATCCTGGGTTTCCGCCCCCTCCAAAGCAAAAATCCCCCCCTCTCCTCATCGCTCCATAAGATCATTTTTTCCTCAGGTCTTTACTCCCCCCACAGAGAGAGAGAGACACCCTGTAAGAATGGCTATTTCACGGGGTTTCCCCCACCCACTCCGCCTGGCTCACCTTGGCCATCCTTGTTGTTGCCCGCAGGGGCGGGCTCCACTTTGATGCACTCCCTGCAGACGGTGTGCAGGCAAGGCAGGAGGCGCGGGTCCCGCTCGGAGCGGAGCTGCTCGCGGCACACGGCGCATTTCTCCAGCAGGTCGATGCCTTCCACATTGACAGGGGTGGTGGCGGTGGCGCTGGCGGATGCCGTCGTGGCGGTCGCGGAGGAGGAGGAGGAGTGCTGCTTGTCCCCAGCGGCGCCGCCTCCGCCGCCAGTCGCTTCCGCGGGAGCAGGGGCCGTTGCAGAGGCCGACATTGCCGCCGCTCCTACTGCTACTACAGTACTATATCACAGAGTCGCGAGAGCGCAGGCGCAAGAGTCCGGGGCCTCGCGGGCTTCTGAAAGGGAACGTTGGCGGGTCTCGCGGGGCGGATGGAACGCTCGGCACGCGCCTCGAGGTCGCACGAAACGCTAAGCGACGGGAGGGGGGGAGGAATAAAAAAAAGGACAAGGGGAGCAGCGCGCGCAGCTAACGAAGGCCTCGTTCAGTCACAGCTCGCGCTTCTGCAGCTGCTGCCGCCACCCCCCTCCTCTTCTCCTTCCTTAGCGCCACCCACCAGGCCAAACGAATGACGGGTAATTTTGGGGGGCAGGATGGGAGATAGCCAAGTCGATACCACCGAACCCTCATCGAAGGCGGGGCTAGGCTCCCTCTAAACCAATCAGTCGCCGCCGATGAGGCCGCGCATCATACGGCGACGTTAAACACGGGCCAGAGTTTTAGCATAAGTTTTTTATTTGGGCGGGACATCTCAAGGAGGGCGGATGAAGATGAAGAGAAAACTGTCCAATCGAACGCCGCGGGGCTAGTTAATTCGTCCAATCCCTTTTATTAGATTGGGCAGAGAACACACCGAGGCACGAAATCTCAGATTTAGGTTTTCTTCAGTGGAGAAGGCGGGGCATAGGGGGAAAAATTTAAGACATGGAAACCTTAGCAACCGCGCCCGGTTATGAGGGAAGAGGGGGAGGAGCACGGTACTAGATTGACTGGGATAAAGTATTGAAGGGAAGGTATTGATAGCGCTACCTGCCTGGATTGAGCCAACGATTCTGGCTCCCCTGCACAGTTCCCTGTTGGGTCTCCATATTGGACATTGAAGAGGTTTCCTTTCGGGCGCTAAATGGCTGAAGCTCAGACGGCTGAAAGCACGAACCTAATAATACACGCTGAAGTTGCTAGTTTTTAAACCTCTCTTTTTTTGTTCCTGTCAGAAGGACCACAGTTACAACTGACACAATACATGCATCAGATAATTTTCTCCTCAAAACGGACAACATCAAGAGTATTTGGGGCAGCGAGCATCAATTATTGCGTGATTTTTTTATAAGTGATTTGGGAACTGGGAAGGTATTTGAAGTAGTACCAGTATCACTGACACAAAAATTTATATACAGTACAAACCTTTCAGTCTTTGTTAACTACAAATGTTAACTTTGCCATTCCAGCTGATAACTAGAATTGGACTCACAATTGCTTCACAAGTCACGCTATTAGCATTTATTTAAAGAAACTTGTTGTAACTCCCAGCACTCACCATTTCCTATCCTGTTGCATGTGGAAAGCATTTGGTGGGCCCCACTGCCCATTTCTGAGTTTAAGTCTGGATACTATACTGTACTTTGTAGGGTCTCAAAACCAGTGTTCTGCCCAGGTGCCACACAGGCTGTCAGAACTGCCAATACCAAAAATGAAGTGGGGAAAAATACAATTTCCGGTTTTGAAAATACATTTTGAGAAGTTTAAATGATGCAGGAATGAGCCCTCAAGTTTACACATTAACTACAGTACTTGAAAGGTAAATCACAGCTTCTCCAGAAGCTACAATTCAACTTTTTTGTCAGAAAAAAAGGGAGGCGGAGGTGGCAAGGGTGCAGCAAAAAACAGCCCAGGGGGCAACAGGTTTGTCCCCGCTTTGTCCAGCCTTGGGTCCCCAGATGTTCTTGGACTAAATTTCCTCACCACTAGCTTACTGGCTAGGATTTCCAGGAGTTGTACTCCAAGAACATTTTGGTACCCTAGATAGGGAACTCTACTTTTCAGCCAACGTGGCTCTCAATGTCACCTGGTTAATAAAAAACAGTGGTTCCAGCCGACAAGCTTATATTTTTCTTAAATCAAAACAGCTATTGTTCCCATGAATATAATCTGGAAAATGATATACAGAAGAAAGGTATAGTGCAGACATAGAAAGAGGTAGAAAAAGATATAGTGCAGAGGTAGAAAGACTACAAATGTTTGGTTCAAAATTGGGAAAGGAGTACGACAACGCTGTATATTGTCCCCCGGCTTATTTAACTTATAGGCAGAATACATGCGAAAGGCTGGACTGGAGGAATCCCAAACCGGAATTAAGATTGCCGGAAGAAATATCATCAACTTCAGATATGCAGATGATACCACTCTGATGGCAGAAAGTGAGGAGGAATTAAAGAACCTCTTAATGAGGGTGAAAGAGGAGAGTGCAAAAATGGTCTGAAGCTCAACATCAAAAAAATTAAGATCATGGCCACTGGTCCCATCACCTCCTGGCAAAAAGAAGGGAAAGATATGGAGGCAGTGAGAGATTTTACTTTCCTGGGCTCCCTGATCATTGAAGATGGTGACAGCAGCCATGAAATTAAAAGACATCTGCTTCTTGGGAGAAAAGCAATGACAAATCTAGACAGCATCTTAAAAAGCAGAGACATCACCTTGCTGGTAAAGGTCCGCATAGTCAAAGCTATGGTTTTCCAGTAGCACTGTATGGAAGTGAGAGCTGGACCATAAAGAAGGTTGACCACCAAAGAATTGATGCTTTTTGTGGTGCTGGAGGAGACTCTTGAGAGAACCCTGGACTGCAAGAAGATCAAACCTATCCGTTCTGAAGGAGATCAACCCTGAGTGCTCACCGGAAGGACAGATCCTGAAGCTGAGACTCCAATACTTTGGCCATCTCATGAGAAGAGAAGATTCCCTGGAAAAGACCCTGATATTGGGTAAGTGTGAAGGCAAGAGGAAATGGGGACGACAGAGGATGAGATGGTTGGACAGTGTCACCAAAGTGACCAACATGACTCAGACATGACTAAAGAACAAACAACAAGAAAGGGGGGGAACCCCAACAAAAACCCTCAGGCCATTCTTAATGTCAAATTGTTTTTGGTATGATAACATCAAGTGTATGGCTACATAGTTTGGAAAAAGATTTCATTGGGCCTCTAAGCCGTAGTACATTGTTGACTATTTGGATCTTCCTGGAATTTATCAGCTTATTATTCCTTTGGCTGCAAGTAACACACACCAGATTGCAGATGGTTCTGTTTATGTTCCTCATAAGGACTGTTTGTTTTTAAGGACATATGTGAAGGGAAGAAACCTAGCCCTGTTGGGAGACTACTAGGAAGGGAGGGGGGGAATGTAGAAGATAAATAAAAATAGAAGTCGCACGTGCCGATGACACATCCTTGCGGTCCACTGTACCTCTTATGGCTTCTTGTGAGGAAAAAAGGTGTCCAATGTAATTAGTGAATGCTCCAGCGATGGCCCAGAGCGCCTCGTTAAGCGATTTCATCGCTCAGCAAGGCGCTCGTTAAGCGAGGCACCACTGTATTAGTAAAAGCAGCAGCAAGTGGAAATTGCAATTCTGCTGTCTGCTGAGTTTTCTTAAACTAAAAGGAAATGAATGCATTTAAAGAAGGGGAGTGTGCATGTGCTTCTTAGAACAAGTTCCTACACAAATTATTTCTGTTTCAACTAATTCTGAACAGGGTGGATTTAATCACAATGTAAATTAATCATAAGACTCAATTTAAATAATAGTTTTCTACATAAAAGATCACTTTTGCTGTAACTGTAATACAGTATTTACAACCCAGACGAAGGTTTCATTTGGTTTCATTTTTTTTAGAATAACGTTTCAGGTTATTTTGACAGTTATATCAGAAAATTAATGTTTGTTTGGCTATAAACCATTTGAAACAGATAATTAATAAATCACTGTGATGTGAACTGTCTCCAGTTTAATAAATTGATATTTGGATACCGTTTCTGCTGTACATTACTGAAGAAGAAAAATCAACATTAACAATAGTCATTTAAATTTTTTTATTTAAATAAAATACTGTAAAACATTATATAACGTATATATTCTTGTATTTGCTTGACATCTATTTGCAGATGAATAATAGGATTCACATCTCTTTTTTCAGCTTTGCACATTTTTGTTGTTAAGAGGAGGCATGTTATCTCTGCAGAAACGCATTCACAGTTTTGAGAACCACAAAACTAAGCATCTTCTAGATTTTAAAAATTACCTTCTAGATAATTATGGTATCTTTTATATAGAAAAATTACCCAAAATAATCTTACAGAAATCTCTTGGAGAGGATTGACACTGGGGCTCTCATTAATGATTTAATTGGATTTATTTACAAAAAATAAAAATAAACATTGCATAAATATATAGTCTCAAACTATGTAAAAAAATAATCCTTATTTCATTATATAACCTTTGGATTATAATATATCCTAAAAAGAAATTATCTTGAGATAGATTTGTCCTTAAAAACCATGTTATCAAATAAAATCCAAATTAAGTCCAGAAAAATTGGGAGGGGTGGTTTAAAAAATGTTCCCCTGTTAGCCTTTTAGTATCCCAGTGTGCAAGCATGATACTTTCTTTGTAGTCTTATGGCCACTGGTGGAGATGGAAGTAGAACTAATTTTTTTTAATTGCTAATATATTATTGGAAGGGACAATTGTTGAATTTCTAGGCAAAAAACATTGGCTTCCCTAGCCATTGAGCACCTCAGGGCATGGGATAAGTATTTAGATGCTAATGGGGTGATTTAAAGCAATCAGTACCGACAATCTTTTGCTTTTACATTGTCAATGGGGAACACTGCCCTCCTGCCTTTTAATTCCATTGTTGCAATAATTAAAAAGGCAAACTTGATAGAATGAGGTGTTGGTAGCAACTAAAATAAAGTGAAACAAGATTATCATATACTGTTTGAATTCTTAGATGACCAAAAATATAACCAGAGTAAATGAAAAATGTGTCTTCAGAACTTTACAGGAAGGAAATTCTTTGCTATTGCTGTTATTCAAATGGAGAAACCGAAGTTATGGTAACTCAGCCAGAGTTCTTTGTAATGTATAGCTGACATGACTAAGTTAAATACTGTATTTAAGTTTTAATGCTGGATTCAACCTATTATCCACTGGATGACACTGCCTTAAAACCATAGCTTGCTATAGAGTTGCAATTCCATATCCTGAAAGCAATTGTGCTGCAAATCC